ACTATGATAAAAATGGTGCGTGTCTGACGTTTGGCAGCCTTTGGTGGGCCAAACCGTTGCTTGTCGGGGTTCTTAGTTATCATGTTTGGCCGGTCAATGCTGAGAACAGCGCAGGCGCAGGCATGCTTTAGCCGGTTGCAGTGTTTGCTAAATTGGAGCGGGTCACCTTGCAACAAATCTGGGTTGCTTGGGAAGACAGAATAACAAATTCATGGTCATAGCTTGTCCTAGCTGGTTTCTTGGCCCGCTAGCTATTACCTAGACCATTGGTGTGTCAGCCAAATACACCAGCTAGTTTGTTTTTCTAGTTTCGTCGCCTGTTTCTGCAAGAGGTGTGTGCAGGTGTGAGGGTGGGAATGATTGGTTGATCACCCCTTCCATGCTCATCCTAGATGCACATGCTTCAAGTGAATTTGAAAGCCCGGTTTGTTGGATTTGAACTGATTTGCTGATGGGATATTTGAGCCTGCTGACTGGGCAAAGTTGTTGATTGGGTCCACGCAGCTTGGCTGCTGAGGGTTCTGAGTACTAGCTATGATGATTCAAAGCGGGCTCCAATGTAAACAAACAGCATGGAACAGAGGAAGACTCACTTGGACAATGTTGGTCCACTTGGCTGTTTTTTCAGCAGATTTCTTTGCAAGCAGGCTTAATACCAGACATCAAAAACGCAAGGCAGGCTCGAAACCTACCTCCAAAGATCAGCCTGTCATTTTAGAGCCATTTTTGGACATGAGGCCCCAAATGTGTTCCTTTCCCAGGGGCCCCGATCTGTTCACCTAGCAGTCATTGAGGCGCTCAGTCCGATCGTGTTCTTTGCGGAAGGTTCTGTCCACCTGCAAACCCCTCCCCCGCCCTCCTAAAAAAAACAATGCAAACCGCGCGGCTTGATTTTCCTGAAAATCCCTCCACCCAAAAACAAACAATCAAGCGAGCAAGCCAGCAAGCAAAGCAAAACAAGCAAACAAGCAAGCAAGCAAACAAACAAACAAACGAGCAGTCAAGCGAGCAAGCAAGCAAGCAAGCAATCAAAGCAAGCAAGCAAGCAAGCAAGCAAGCAAACAAACAACCAAGCAAGCAAGCGAGCAAGCGAGCAAGCAAGCGAGCAACCAAAGCAAGCAAACAAGCAATCAAGCGAGCAAGCAAGCGAGCAAGCAATCAAAGCAAGCAAAGCAAGCAAGCAAGCGAGCAATCAAAGCAAGCAAACAACCAAACAAGCAAGCGAACAAACAAACAAGCAATCAAGCGAGCAAGCAAGCGAGCAAGCAAGCAATCAAAGCAAGCAAACAACCAAACAAGCAAGCAAACAAACAAACAAGCAAGCGAGCAAGCAAGCAAGCAATCAAAGCAAGCAAACAACCAAACAAGCAAGCAAACAAACAAACAAACAAGCAATCAAGCGAGCAAGCAAGCGAGCAAGCAAAGCAAGCAACCAACCAAACAAACAAGCAAACAAACAAACAAACAAGCAATCAAGCGAGCAAGCAAGCGAGCAAGCAAGCGAGCAATCAAAGCAAGCAAACAACCAAACAAGCAAGCAAACAACCAAACAAGCAAGCAAACAAACAAACAAACAACCAATCAAGCGGGCAAGCAAGCGAGCAAGCAAGCGAGCAATCAAAGCAAACAAACAAACAAACAAACAATCAAACAATCAAACAAACAAACAAGCAATCAAGCGAGCAAGCAAGCGAGCAAGCAAGCGAGCAATCAAAGCAAGCAAACAACCAAACAAACAAACAAGCAATCAAGCCAAGCGAGCAAGCAAGCGAGCAATCAAAGCAAGCAAACAACCAAACAACCAAACAAACAAACAATCAAACAAGCAATCAAGCGAGCATGCAAGCGAGAAAGCAAAGCAAGCAAACAACCAAACAATCAAGCAAGCAAACAAACAAACAAGCAATCAAGCGAGCAAGCAAGCGAGCAAGCAATCAAAGCAAGCAAACAACCAAACAAACAAGCAAACAAACAAACAAACTAGCAATCAAGCGAGAAAGCAAGCGAGCAAGCAAGCGAGCAATCAAAGCAAACAAACAAACAAACAAACAAGCAACCAAGCGAGCAAGCAAGCGAGCAATCAAAGCAAGCAAACAACGAAACAAGCAAGCAAGCAAACAAACAACCAAACAAGCAAGCGAGCAAGCAAGCGAGCAAGCAAGCGAGCAATCAAAGCAAACAAACAAGCAACCAAGCGAGCAAGCAAGCGAGCAATCAAAGCAAGCAAACAACCAAACAAGCAAGCGAACAAACAAACAAGCAATCAAGCGAGCAAGCAAGCGAGCAAGCAAGCAATCAAAGCAAGCAAACAACCAAACAAGCAAGCAAGCAAACAAACAACCAAACAAGCAAGCGAGCAAGCAAGCGAGCAAGCAAGCGAGCAATCAAAGCAAACAAACAAACAGTCACACAAGCAATCAAGCGAGCAAGCAAGCGAGCAAGCAAGCGAGCAATCAATTCAATCAAACCAACAAACAAAGAAGCAATCAAGCGAGCAAGCAGGCGGGCAAGCAAGCGAGCAATCAAAGCAAGCAAACAACCAAACAAGCAAGCAAGCAAACAAACAACCAAACAAGCAAGCGAGCAAGCAAGCGAGCAAGCAAGCGAGCAACCAAAGCAAACAAACAAACAAACAAAGAAAGCAAGCGAGCAATCAAAGCAAACAAACAAACAAGCAATCAAGCGAGCAAGCAAGCGAGCCAGCGAGCAAGCAAGCGAGCAAGCAAGCGAGCAATCAAAGCAAACAAACAAACAAACAAACAAACAAACAAACAAGCAACCAAGCGAGCAAGCAAGCGAGCAAGCAAGCGAGCAATCAAAGCAAGCAAACAAGCAATCAAGCGAGCAAGCAAGCGAGCAAGCAATCAAAGCAAGCAAAGCAAGCAAAC